GTGCCTTCTGGTTTTCATCACGGGTATATTGATCTAGGTAACCTCCAGGGAATTCCAAACTAAACCCTTTATTTAATTTATGGAAGTAGACCATTTTTGTTCCACTGCTCATATCTAAGGATATATCTCGTCTAGTTCTTACTTTTTAGTTAAAGTTGTGCTGGACCAATAGCCTAGTGGATTAAAGTGTCCCAGGGCAATAGCCTAGTGGATTGGTTTGTGGATTTGGTGACATTTGTGAGTTCAATCCCTGGGTCAGGCAGTGTGTACTTGGCCTTGTTGGAAATGGCAGCAATCACTGAACAGTGCAAAATAAGAACTAGACATGAGCAGTGGAATGAGAACAATCTGCTTCTGTAAATTAAATAAAGGGTTCAATTTGAAATTTCTTGTAAGCTACCTGGATTCATATATACCTGATGAAGGACAGAGTGCACAATGGCCAAAATGTTGTGATAGCAACAACAGTCTGAATGTAAATAGTGTAAATAATATATTATATAAATTTCATTAAGGATCCTGTATCTAAATGCTATATGTTATACATGCTTCTGTTAAAGATATTCATTTGTGAAAATTGATAATAGATTTTTTCCTTATGCATATTTAATTGAACAAATTAAATTATTTCCAACAATTTTGTATTAATTTGGCTCAGTTTTTTTTTAAGTCTTTGGTGTTTTATTATTTATTTTTTATATAGAATATTTGAAGTATTGTTTGTTTGAAGTTATTACATTGCTGCAAAAGTTTTCAGCATATTTTTTCTTTTAATGAAATCCTTTTCAAATTCATAGCATTATTAGTATTTCCTTTGGCCTTCTATGACCTTATGCCTCCTTTCAGGTATAAGTTTTATCATAAAAAGATTGATTCTGGTTTTGATTTAACAAATTCTTTGAGAAAATTTTCAAGATGTTGAATTCATTGGAAACCCTGATCAGAGAAAGAATGTTTTGATATTTATTTCTTTATAAAAATGGTAAATAATAAATATTGCCTTGTAGTTGTTTCATGTTTTTTATAATCTTGTAAATAAACCATCTAACAACTAAATAGTGTGTAATAGTTTCGTTATTAAAATTCTAAACATAACTTTTCAAAACAAACATTAATGATGTATACAGTAATAGTCATGTCAAGAGAAAAAATGTCCTTTTGACACACACTGTTTGTTTTCCAGGTACAAAGGTTAAACTTTGCTGATTTCCATTTCATTGTGCAAAAGATAGAACTGGCAAATTTGGCATCAACTTTTCTTGTCCTTTGGAATTATTTTCATAATTCTGCAGATTCACTTTGTACTGTTTTATTTCACTATGAGGTTTCTATTTTCCTACCGGGACATGGAAAAAACCTTATTGTGACATCTATATGTTATAAACGTCTTCTTGCTAGAAAGTCAGAAGATATACCGCCAATACTCTCAGTACAAAAGAGAGTAATCACTTCAATATAAGCTTGAGTCATCTTAAATGTCTTTGGATTATCTTTAGTTCTTAACAGAAAAGAAGTAATGGCACTATTAATTATCAGATCAAGTCTATATTTTATAGGCTGGATTGCTTTTGGTTGCATTCTTAGTAATTGTCTTTTGGTTAACTAACACATTAGGTAGTATTGGTAGTTTTTCCATGGTGTTGTATATAAAGAGCATTTCTACCAATCAATAAAAGAGCACTAGTCAGTAGCCCCACAACAGGGCTTGAATGTACTGACTGTATTTCCTGCAGAGGTGATAAGACCCTAGATATATGCATACCCATTTTTGACACTAGTGCAAACTGGACCTGTGTCTCCTGGCTTTGACACTAGTGCAAACCAAACCCATTTCCCCACTTTTTGACTTTAGTACAAACTGGACCCAGGTCCCTTTTCCAGTGCAAACCGGGCCAGTGTCTCCCCTTTTTTTTAACACCAGTGCAAACTGGACACATATCTCCCCCTTTTTGGCACCTCTGCAAATAAAATCCATGTCTTCCCTTTTTTTACATCAGTGCAAACCCAGCCCATGCCTCCCCACTTCTTTTTTTTTTTTTTTTTTACAACAGCGCAAACCAGACTTGATTCTCATCTTTTTCATACTTGTGCAAACTAGATCTATGACTACCTTTTTGATAATTTATAATTTCTGTCATGTGAGATACATTTAACATTAAATGACCTAAAATGGGTGGAAGTGTCATTAAACCCACTAACCTAACCAGCACAAATTAATCCTACCAAACTCATATGAATAGCAACTTATTCAACCTGTTACATCTCTTTTTCTGTAGCATGTAGTCTTATATCCATTTATGCCAACAATTAGAAAATAGCCATTTGATATCTAGCTTCCTTCTGTTCCAAATTATGAATGACAATGAAATCACTGAATTTCCTTTGCTATATCTGCAACTTTGGCTGCTTTGTCTGATTGATCCTGTATGAAAGATTTCTCTTAATGAACCAATGCTTTCCCACATTCCCAGCACCATGTCATGAAAAGGGCAATGTCTTCTGGTTGTACACCAGGTGTGTCAACATGTATACTAATAATATAATATAATCAATACAAAAAGCCCAAATCTATTTTTTAAGTCTTTGGTGTTTTATTATTTATTTTTTATATAGAATATTTGAAGTATTGTTTGTTTGAAGTTATTACATTGCTGCAAAAGTTTTCAGCATATTTTTTCTTTTAATGAAATCCTTTTCAAATTCATAGCATTATTAGTATTTCCTTTGGCCTTCTATGACCTTATGCCTCCTTTCAGGTATAAGTTTTATCATAAAAAGATTGATTCTGGTTTTGATTTAACAAATTCTTTGAGAAAATTTTCAAGATGTTGAATTCATTGGAAACCCTGATCAGAGAAAGAATGTTTTTGATATTTATTTCTTTATAAAATGGTAAATAATAAATATTGCCTTGTAGTTGTTTCATGTTTTTATAATCTTGTAAATAAACCATCTAACAACTAAATAGTGTGTAATAGTTTCGTTATTAAAATTCTAAACATAACTTTTCAAAACAAACATTAATGATGTATACAGTAATAGTCATGTCAAGAGAAAAAATGTCCTTTTGACACACACTGTTTGTTTTCCAGGTACAAAGGTTAAACTTTGCTGATTTCCATTTCATTGTGCAAAAGATAGAACTGGCAAATTTGGCATCAACTTTTCTTGTCCTTTGGAATTATTTTCATAATTCTGCAGATTCACTTTGTACTGTTTTATTTCACTATGAGGTTTCTATTTTCCTACCGGGACATGGAAAAAACCTTATTGTGACATCTATATGTTATAAACGTCTTCTTGCTAGAAAGTCAGAAGATATACCGCCAATACTCTCAGTACAAAAGAGAGTAATCACTTCAATATAAGCTTGAGTCATCTTAAATGTCTTTGGATTATCTTTAGTTCTTAACAGAAAAGAAGTAATGGCACTATTAATTATCAGATCAAGTCTATATTTTATAGGCTGGATTGCTTTTGGTTGCATTCTTAGTAATTGTCTTTTGGTTAACTAACACATTAGGTAGTATTGGTAGTTTTTCCATGGTGTTGTATATAAAGAGCATTTCTACCAATCAATAAAGAGCACTAGTCAGTAGCCCCACAACAGGGCTTGAATGTACTGACTGTATTTCCTGCAGAGGTGATAAGACCCTAGATATATGCATACCCATTTTTGACACTAGTGCAAACTGGACCTGTGTCTCCTGGCTTTTGACACTAGTGCAAACCAAACCCATTTCCCCACTTTTTGACTTTAGTACAAACTGGACCCAGGTCCTTTTCCAGTGCAAACCGGCCAGTGTCTCCCCTTTTTTTAACACCAGTGCAAACTGGACACATATCTCCCCTTTTGGCACCTCTGCAAATAAAATCCATGTCTTCCCTTTTTTTTACATCAGTGCAAACCCAGCCCATGCCTCCCCACTTTTTTTTTTTTTTTTTTTTTTTTACAACAGCGCAAAAACCAGACTTGATTCTCATCTTTTTCATACTTGTGCAAACTAGATCTATGACTACCTTTTGATAATTTATAATTTCTGTCATGTGAGATACATTTAACATTAAATGACCTAAAATGGGTGGAAGTGTCATTAAACCCACTAACCTAACCAGCACAAATTAATCCTACCAAACTCATATGAATAGCAACTTATTCAACCTGTTACATCTCTTTTTCTGTAGCATGTAGTCTTATATCCATTTATGCCAACAATTAGAAAATAGCCATTTGATATCTAGCTTCCTTCTGTTCCAAATTATGAATGACAATGAAATCACTGAATTTCCTTTGCTATATCTGCAACTTTGGCTGCTTTGTCTGATTGATCCTGTATGAAAGATTTCTCTTAATGAACCAATGCTTTCCCACATTCCCAGCACCATGTCATGAAAGGGCAATGTCTTCTGGTTGTACACCAGGTGTGTCAACATGTATACTAATAATATAATATAATCAATACAAAAGCCCAAATCTATTATAGTGGACTGATATGAATAACAACTCGCTATTCAACCCATCATAGTAAATAAACTTAAACCTTTGCTTGACATTAGCTTTGCTTTGTGCAGCCAATTTGGTTAGCAGATAATAAGTTGGGGCTCCCTGCCCAACTTACTGTGATGTTCTTGCTGGGAAAGAATTCAATTAGTGGAACAAATACAGCATTCAATTCCATTTATTAAGGTTTCAAGATTTGCCTGTAGAATTCCATGTATATACTTCTCATCTTTCCCAGCAATATGTTGACTATTTTTTGCTTCCTTTTCATTCTAAATCTCAATATACTCTAAAGAACACCCAACGTGTAAAACCTAGCCTTATGTAAATTAAAAGGCTTTGTTTTGGAGGACTCTTTTCTTTGTTTTGAATTCTACTGTTGAAGAATAATTAGAAAACGTTTGTCTTAATTGACAAAAGTTCAGCATTCAAAAAGGTGTCCATGTGCTTTCAAGTTTGTTTCCAGCTAAGCCAGTTTGTTGCAATATTTATGTTTCAGCATATTGACAACGTGATGAGTGGCTATGGAGATCAGATCATGCAGGCTGTGGTCTTCATCCTGGAGGGCGAACACAGTGTTGACATCAAGGAACAGGTAACATAGACAGTTTCTTCTTTGTTCACTGTGGTCTTTAAAATTGTTGTATAGATCTGTTTTATATTTCTTTGTTTCGCACTGAGGTTCATATTATGCTGTGTAGCCTTGAGGTCATATAAATATTATCTTGACAGAGGAAAATTTCTTTCCCTTTAAATTTATTTAGTTTTCCTAAACTTTTCACACTCAATTGTTGCCATTCTTATATTAAAAATCAAAACAAGAATGTTTTAAAAGCAAATGCTAGTCATTGATAGGGAAAATCTCTCTCTTTCTCTCATTCTTCTTATCAGGCACAACCCAATATTCAACAATAGTCAGAAATGGAACTCTCTTAGATTGGAAAGAAAATCTTGTCACACTTGAAGTAGGAAAAGAAATGAAAGCTTCTTTGGTTTTAATTGAAATATTCATTTAAGATAATATTTTCCCTCCTTATCGACAATACCATCTATTTAACAAATTATTGATCTGTTGGGTGAAAAATGATTCAGTTTTCAATGCAAAGGAGCATTCTAACCTTTTAACAATGAACTGAAAAGATGTTGCAATGATCTGAAAAGATGATAGTCAGATGGAGCAAGGTCAGGAGAGTAAGGAGGATAAGACAAAACTTCCACACTTAGTGGCATAATCTTTTTAACTTGAGTGACTCAAGGAATTATGTATCTTGCACTGTCATGTAAGCAACATACCTTTATGATTAACCAATGAATGCTTCATGATAGACAATACTCTTCATATCCTATTGAAAACAAGGCATGACTTTTTTTCAGTTGTAGTCCTGTTTTTTAATACATGCTGACTATTATAATTTTCATTGGACATCATTATAGCAAACTCTTTTTCATCACTGGTGATGATTCTACCCAGGAAATATTCAGTCGTAAGGCTTCTCTTCAGTGACTAGTAGAAAGCAACTCTCTGGCTAAACTGAGAAGCAGTCAGGATAAGTGAAGCATTGACCAAGTTTAAACATTAGATGACTAGATGCATATTTATTCTGTTTATGGATTTTCCTCAACTATGGTTTTCAGAATTTCAATATTGATCAAAATTGGTCTCTCAGTTTGAAAGAAATCTTTGAGAAAAGCTTCACAATCAAAACTGGCCAAATCCTCATTGGCAGGCTTTTATAGAGAGAATGAATATTTCTTGCAGTTTCCATTGATGAAGAGCACTTTTTTGTATTCACACAGTATATTTCTTTATATATATATATATATATATATATATATATATTATATATCACTGCTGTTTAAAAGCCTTGTTTTTGTCATATAGGAAAATCCAATATGGTGCGTAAACAAAATATTTGGCGAAAAATCCCATTCGTCAGTAACATTGTAAACACCTCATAGAATGTAAAGTTCTCAAAGCAAGCCTGTGCCACACTGTTTTCCTGAATCCTTGATGACTTGGCTGTCCGAAAATCACAACATCAAGATGAAATAATGGAAACTGACCATGAAAAACTCAATTATGCGCAACAAGTTTTCAATCAAAGTAAACTTCTGGACCTTTTCAGTCGACATTATAGCATCCAGATGGCTAATTTTTACACATGGAATTACTCACTGGTAATAAATCTTCGATTTGGCTGTGAAAAATGTCACTCGGGGGGTTAGCATTAAAAAATTATGGCCAATTTTCTATGAAAAATCACCTTTTCTTATTTAAAAAATAATTTTTTCACTTCAAAACAATTTTTTTCAAACTGCAGTCCTTTGTTGGTGTAAATATCATTGAATAAAATGAACTACTATATGACCTGACGATGGGAAATATGAAAGGTATATAGCTATGTTGGGATGACATTTTTTAATTAAAATTCTAGTATATTTATTCTAAAAGCAACTAATTACTTAAAAATTCTTATTTTCACCAATACAGGTGAACTTTGAATATATGGTGTGTGTGCACATGCACACAAATAAAAAATAAATGAAACTTAAATGCTTCTTTTTAAATTAGTGAATGAAATCCAAATGATGGTTGAAGGGCATAAATTAAGATAGTTGTTCTAAATGCGAAAAAAATATTTAGATCTAATTGTAAGAACTAATTTTACCATACAAGAAAATTATATTTTTATCTATCAATTTTTGGTTAAAAATCTTTGAACTCTTAACAACAACATTTATGCATTATTTTCTATTTATCATAAACTAAATTGAAAAGACATGAATTTAAAATGAATTTAAAAAATGATAAACATGGAATATCTAATCATGAAGCAAGGCAGATAATTGTAAATGAAAATATTTTGATAAAGATTTTAAAAATATTTTTAATTGTAAATAGCTGGAATGTGCTAATATTCTTAGATAGAAACTGAATGCATTGAGCACATTTCTTAAAGTATGTTAAAAGTTACTCTGAACATGAAAATTGATAAGAACATTTCCATGTAAATTTATTCAAAGGGAATTAACTTAAATAAAAATCAAGTTATGATTTTTATAAAAAATTTTCAGTAAAATTTAACTAATTTGTTTTTGTATTTATTCTTTTTTAAAACTTTAATATTTAACTTTTTATTTATTTAATAAACATTTTAATTTGGTGTATTTTTATTATGATACTAAAAAACTAATTGATAACATTTTAAATTGCCTCAAAATTAAAATGTTTTTTATCAACATTTTGATTTTGAGACAGTTTTAAAAATTTTTAGGATGTTGTTTTTTGGGATGGTTCAGAATGATGGTGAACAAAGTTAGTTTGAAACACTGAAAAGGATCATTGTAAAAAGATCAACCTACTAACTATTTGTGAAGTTTAATTTATTATACAGGGTGCGATGGATAAATTGTTGTCTAAATTATGCTAAGCATTTAACAGATATATTTACCAAAATTACACAAAAATATCTTGAAATACTAAAGAGTAAATTTATTCAATAAAGTAGCCATTGGTTTCAACCGCAGCATCCAGACGACTTTGGGATCTCCTGCAACTCTGCTGGACAGTCTCCTTGTTTAAGTTGGTGAATGCTGCCATAATCCTTGCTTTCAATTAATCTTTGGTGTTACAAGGAGTTTTGTTGGTTTCTTACTCAACTGAGTCCCACATAATAATCAAGGGGATTACAGTCTGGGGAGTAAGGAGTGATATGGTTGAAGAAATTGTCTGACAGCCATGACTGGGTTCTCCTGCTTGTGTGGCATGGTGCCAAGTCATGTTGCCAGACATAGGGTCTTCCAGTAGCCACCCACTCAACCCAGGGTAGCACTACTGCTTCAAGGCACTTGAATGTAGGCCTCTGTGTTGAATCTGAGGCTCTGTGTGAAGATGAATGGAGGCATAATGTCACTATCTCTAGTGATCACTCCAAACACCTTCATAATCACCATTAAACTCCTGCAACTCTTTCTGAATCCTCTGCAATGTCCTCAGATTGACACACAAACACTCTGAAATGTTCATAGGGGAGCTTTCAGTATGAATACCAAGCAGTAGAGCATGTCATTTCCAAATTTCTGGCAGAACAAATTTCGTCATGGTGCTCTTTTTCTCACTGATGGTGCTCAACTGACCCTACTATACTGTGCAATCAACAAAATCAAAAACAAACAACACACATGCACAAAATTAAAAATATAAAATAGCAACAATTTATCCATCTCATCCTGTATGCCTGAAACAATTAAAAGCTTATGCTATCTTAAAGCTAGAGACTAAATCTGTCATAAAATGTGAACTTTGAAACTTGGTAGGAACATATATATTCTTCTTTAAGTAATAAAAATATGAAAATCCTTCAGAGACTTTACTGAAATATTACATTTTTTAAGTAAATAGTAACTGAACTATTCCCTAGGTTCTTCAATAATTTACAAAATTACAAATATATATAATGTTATTTTCAATATTCTATAATATTGGAAAATGCAATTTCAAGAATATACAAAAGAGTACACATATAGAAAGAATGAAATACAATCCTGTATTAAAATTTAAAGCATGTTCCAGAGCTTTAGTGTTATTGTACAAGTGAAAGTAAAATAGATTGAGAAACATTGGTCTATGGTAAAGAGTGACAGATTGAGTTCATTTCTCTCCAGTCTAATTTTGAATTCAGTTTTTCTTAGACTGCTTGACCTATCAAGGCTAACTGGCTCAGTCTGATAAGGGCAGAAAGTATAGACTCATGCCTTTCTCAAGTGTACAAAGTGAATGTAAACTGCTTGTGTCAGAGTTTGAACTCTGCTCACAGATTCCATTATTCACACTGATAGTCATTGTGTCATGTCACACATACACAGTAATGTCTTATTGATATTTTGAAGTTGATTTAATCTGTTTTTAAAATTTCAGGCCCTGTGCATCCTTGGGCATATTGCTGATGGCAAGTCAGCAAAAGATTTTATCATGGGTAATGAAGATGTCCTTCGTAAACTGATCAATTATATGGTAAGTTGCTCCGACTGAAAAATTAAGAATTTACAGAGCAATTTGGTATGTTCTCATGTTCTGTGAAATTGGAACTTGATGACAGCTAGGAGATACAGGATTTTAAGAATCCCTGTTTAAATATTATTTTCATAAAATAGAAAACAATTTACTCTTATGACTAATTTTTCATTCAAAGAGGCATTGAAAGGTTCTTGGCTGATGATTTGTCATTTGGTTAGATTTTAGTAAAAGTGGGTCAAGCTGATAACTTTTCAGCACCCCCTCATGTATGGAGTTTTTTTTTTTTTTTTATTCTACACATCTAAGAATTTGTGCATGTTTTCTGTACAAAAGAAAATATGCACAATTGGACAAGAACATTCAAGACCTGCACAGACGAATCGACAAACAACACTTTGCCTTCATACTCAAAATGACACATGATGATGAAAACGGCTAAGACAGCAGAACACTGTGAATGCAATAGGAATGACATGAATGGAGAACAATTAGTGAAAATTTAGGTGAATACAAGAACAGAATAAGAAAAGTGAGAGCGTTAAAAAAAATGTATATTGCTGTGATCATCCAGCGATTGAGTGCTACGAAAGTGGAAGGATCTTCACACATACAACTGTTTAGCGTGAACCTAAACCTATTGAAATACTTGGACTTATTTGGATCTAAATTTGAGAATTTATGCATTTTTTTTTTTTTTTTTTTTTTGAAAAGCCATTTTTATTTCATCAACCAGCCTGAAATTCATTTCCAACTCTTTCCAGTTTGTCATTGTTTCTCTGCATTTCTTTACATTCACTTACGTGCTAATAGTGTTGGGAAAGTTATGAATCCATCTCTTCTTGCTCTAGCTATGAGAAAAATAGCAGGACAGACTGAATCCTATAGCCTTGGGTAGCAACCAGTTTAGGAGATGGAAACCCTGAAAAACTGGATCACACCATCCTAAATTCAATTTTGAATTCAAATTCCCACTGAAACTCCTGCCATGGATTTGCACATCCAAATGAATACAATCTCTGCTATGCTTGGTCAGCTCTTGTTTGGATGCAACAGGTTTGTTTGATGGTGCTGGCTCAACCAACCAGGTGAATGTTCCACCAGGTATAGGTACAGGTATTGACTAGCATAAATAGGTAAAAGAAATGGTTGCTGATAGACCTGAATACCACAAGATTTTCCAGTTAGCCACCCTCACTGAATCTATTTAGAGTGGTAGAGAGAAGGCAGCATCATAAACATTCCAGTTTGTGAGATATGCCCATGCATATCAAAAACTTTCCCCAGCACTCTTAAATGGGGAACCATTCTACGATCATTCTGACAATGACAGTCATTGATCATTTTGAATTTTTCAGTTTTCTCATTCGTTTTTGGGTACCTACAATTTTCATTATCTTCCACATTTTCTTGGCCTTATCAAAATCTCTTGTGCCACTCAAAACACATGTATGTGACATATATTGTTTTACTTGTAAACTTATCAAAGGAAAAAGATTTAACAGATAGTTTGTTGAATTTCAACAAAAATTAAAAATTGATTCACTACTCAACATTTGAACTGACTGTTTTGTGATGTGTCAGAAAAATCATCTCTACTTTATGTGTAATGGTGAAAACAGGATAGATTGAATCTTTCAGGAATTGTCTATACTTGTTTATTGTCATACATATATATATATATATATATATATATATACACACACACACAGGATGAGGGAGAGAGCATGGATGTTTTTGAAAATTCACATTATTAATTTTAGCTCCAAAAATATTTTATTGATGCCAAAGAGAAGGCTGTGCACGGGTCTTTCATGCAGTTCTCTTAGATTTTCAAGAGCCCAATAATGATAATTCTGTTGATTCACCACGTCATTGACATGAAAATTAGCTTCATCACTCATTAACAAAATGAGGTTGTCATTTGTCTCAGAAATTGCTTCCATCTGATGTGCAAAGTTAAGCCACAGTGCATAGTCCCCTGATCTCAACTGTTGCCCAATGACCAATTTGTAGGGGTGGAAATGCAGTTCTTCATGCAAAATATGCTTTATCAAACGATTATTGATGCCAAGTTCAGTAGCATGCCACCAAGTAGAGCGATTCGTACTGCACACCAAAGCTTGTCTGATGCGTTCCACATTTTCTGGGGTAGGTACTGTTTGTGGGGCCGCACTGGTTTGCTATTCATTAGTGTACCTCATGTATGAAGTGCATGAACCCAATGTAAGATTGTGTTATGAGTGGGAACAGCCTGATTTCAGTGAATATCGAATCGGTGACAAAACTCATGCTGAACAGCTGTGACAGACTCATTATTCTTCACAAAACTGTTATGGATAAGCATATAGTGTTCTATCATCCACAGTGGCATGGCTTCGACTGAAAAGGAAAAAAAAAATGTTAAGATAACATGGATCGAATGATACCTGTCGCCCGTATGTCCCTTGCCCTGGGGCTGAGTAATAGCTATTTCAAAAACATCCATCCTTTCTGTCTCACCCTGTGTGTGTGTATATATATATATATATATATATATATATATATAGAGAGAGAGAGAGAGAGAGACCAGGAAAACTTATCTTAGCCAATGCATTTTGTCTTCTGATGAACTTTATCAAGGCAAATATATATAAGGATTTTATTTTGCAATGAGTATTTATAAACTGAGATAAAAATGTCATTAGTTTTCAGAATTATTAAATTTAAGAATGCTTATAAATATACATCAGGCTAACTAAAAAAATTTAAGACAAAAAAACCCAAAGAAAACAGTTAAATTCAAAACCTATTATTTAAAATATATAATGCATAAATTAATCTCAAATTAAAATAAATAATAATTGCATAAAAAAATAACATTATTTACTCACTTTCATTTATTAGGCATTAAATTACATCAATTAGCATCCTCCATAATTGATCTTGACTTTTGCTTAAAGTATATTTATGAGCATTCTTAGATTTAAAAATTCTGAAAAACTAACAACATTTTTATTTCTGTCTATAAATACTTGTTGCAATATAAAATCTTTACATTTGCCTTGATGAAGTCCATCAGGGGGCAAAATACATCAGCTAAGTTTTCTTTTTGTTTTATTCATAGTTCTTTTACAGATACATTTGTAATTATATCTGAATTTTTATACACACACACACACACATTAAAAATGATACATTTTATGTTGATTAATTTTAATGTTCAACTTTTCCAAGTTATGAATAATCCTTCTCAGATAAGGAGGAAATTCGTTTTGGAAGAAAAATAGAGGAATTTTCTCCTTGTTCAAGAAAGATTATCCATAACTTGGAAAAGTTGATCATTAAAATTAACTGACACAAAATATTTGCTGTCTAAATGCACAGAATATATATAAGGTAGGTCACACATGCGTGAAGTGGTTTTAGTTGCCTAAGGCCAGGGCCCCTTCTGCCTGTTGCATATACCCCCCCCATACTGTATTTAGTTTCATTATAGTATAAACTTCAAAAGTGGCTTTAGAAAGATTGTTACTATTCAGATAATATCTTTTGTTAATTGTGTAGGAATTTACAAAGATACACTGCAACTTCTAATACCATTTTGTGTTTACTAACATTCTTTGCTTTTTAGGTTCACAGCAATGAGAAAGTACAGTTAGCCGCTGTGTACTGTATTGGTAATTTAGTATGGAATGATGACGAAGGTAAGTGTTGTGTTTGTTATCTTGACAAATAGAAATAATAAAATTGTAATCAATCGACTAAACAGAATCTGATTTTATCATTTGAACTACAAAGTACTTTAGCAGAAAATCAATCTTTTATATTTTTCCAATTTTTGGGTAAGGTGTTAAGTATTGAGCACAAAGTTGTGGATAAACTGTCCAAAGTTCATATTTCATTATTTTTGTTCAAGTACTTTTGACTTGCGCAGTCATTATCAAGAATTAATGTAGTGTCTGTGTGGTAGATAGAATTCTTTTGTCTACCTCCCAGTATTCGTTTGGGAAGATGGAAGTTTGAAATTGTCTAGTGTGATGTCATAAAAATAAATGGAAACATTTTGAATTTTGGAAGAATTAATTGTATTTTCTCATTGTTTTTTTCTTCTTTTTCTCTTGTTGCTAGGGTCTGCAGAAAGACAAGCACGTCTTCGGGATTTGGGTGTTCAAAAATCTCTTCACCAACTGTCCACAACAACTACAGGAGACCTACAACAGCGGTTAGTATAGAAACAATATATCTCTAGGGTTTTTTAAAATTCTAATTGAATTTTTGTGGCATTTAGATATTTATTAAATTTTCCAAGCAAAAATTTAAAAAAAAAAACATTAAAGGTTTAAGACCTTTAACCAAATTGCTATAATTTTCTTCTTTTTTTTTTTATGAGAAAAACTGTGATATGGAAGCTACAACTCTTACATATTAAGAAAATTATTAAAAAATACAGGCAAAATTCTGCACACACATGTGTATATATATATATATATATATATATATATATATATATATATATATATAGAAAAATTACTTGACTATAAATATCAATTTATGATGTTTCCCTGACTTCAAAGTTTCTTGGAATTGTCCATTCTTCAACGGGTCAGTTGTTTGAATTGTTTGAAAAAATATATATAGCTAGGTGTAACAGAGTTCAGAAAAGAAGAAAAATCCATTCTTCAATGAATTACTATGGTTGTAAAGAAAAGAAAAGACTGTCAACTTATAGTAGCAATAGATTTCTTCTGTCTCTAGACTGCAACACTTGTAGCCAAATCACAGTTCATACGATAGCCCGTCATAACAGTCCAACAAGCAGCATAGAAACGACAAAATGGGGTCAAATGTCTAACCTTCACTTCTCACCAACAAAAACGTGTTTGTCTACCGCGCTCAGAAAATCTCTTGCTTTTATAAGCAAAGAACAACGGCTTTTGTTCACTGATAGATCTTTCTGATTGGTCACACCATTCAGGGGAGCGAAGAACATTAGCATAGATTCTCGTCCTTAAAGTAGATTTTTTTTTTTTTTTTTGCTAACTACTTTTTGGTAATTTTTTCTTCAGCAGATCGCACACAAAACACAAACTCTTTTTTGAGGTAACTGATTATCTCTTTCACTACAATTACTTCTATTATGAGTGAGAAAAATGACTGACAGTATGTTTCTTTGAAAAACTTGTAATTAATTGTTGACAATACCTATGTTTAATAATAAGAGAAAATTGAAGATAATACAATGTTTGTTTTGACATAATGTGCCTCTTTAACTTTTGCAGTGTGAAATTGGCCCTGCAGCAATTCTCCTGACAATATCTGAAATTATTTGCAGTTGACCCTGAGCAGAGACTGTAGTAAGGCAGCAAAACCAACAAATTGCTGAATTAGCTTCTGCCTTTTCTCTTAATCACCAACATCACCACCAGATTCAATATTACTGTCTCTATAATTACTTCTGCTACATTAAATTTTAACTAAAACTCAACGTAAAAGGGAGACTTACTTGTCCACTACTGATTGGCCTCTCATTCCCATACAGGACCGGGGTGAATGAATGTCATTGAAAACATTCTGGATTTTGGGGTTTTGAAAAAAAAAAATAGATAAAACCTTTTTGATACTGTCTGTCCAGATCCAACCATCCAGGGAAGACCATAACATTCAAACATGTTTTATTTGAGATTAAGTCAAGGTTGGGTGGAGTAAATGAATGTGTAGGAAAGATTTTTAAAGTAATTTTATTTAATAAGTCATTCAAATCTTTTTTCATGTTTATTTATTCTTGCTGTTTTTTTTTGTCATTATTTGATAGATAAATATTGTTAAGTATGTGGTGACTTGGGTCAGTTTTGGGCACCTTTTCTTTAACAGAATAAATATGACAGTTATAAAATACTACTGCTTGCTGTTCCATAACAGTTATTGCATTTGGTGTATGAAATATGAATGAAAATGTAACAACTCTTCTGGGACAGAAATAGTAATTTCTTTATAAGTAGATCTTTCTGTAGAGTTTAAAGATGCCATGTAGATTGGGTTAAATTATATGGCTTTGTTTTTATTTTCTTTAACCTGTACTGTGAATTTATCTTTTTAAAAACTGCAATAATATCATTCATCTATTTTAGGCCATTAAGAATACCTTTTTAAAAATGTGTCTTTTGAAGAAAACAAAACAACTTAGAAATTTGCTTTTCTTCAGAACAAATTTCGGGAAGGAGTTTTCATGATCAAATTTCTCTATTTAAAATACAGCAATGTTTAAGAGATTTTTTAACGTTTGGTTCTTGCAAAATCAGAATAATGCTGCTAAAGCTTTTTGAAAAAGTTATGTTTTTACAACTTGTTTTTACTTTAAATGTGACATTTAAATCTTAAAGATTTAAAGTCAGTAAATTTGGCTTAAATCTTCAAAATGCAGACTCAATTTTCTTAAAACTAAATAGAAATTTAAACTTATCATTATCTGACACATTACAACACATGTAAGTAACAATTAAAACGTCCCGTATTTTTTTTAAATGGTAGTTGCTGGTGAAAATAAGAAGCCAAGACACCTGCCTAGAAAAAAAAAGACCCTTTCATAAGAACCCAACTGACATTATTGATCTTAATCACCACAACTAACTTTTTTTTACTTTATTTTTTATCATTTCAAAGAAATTGTTGTTACATTTAATATTTTAGAATTTTTTTATGATCATGTTTCTTTACATTGATTTTCCAACCATATTAAAACTTGAATTCCAAAAAAGAAGAACTGAAAAGATTAATGAAAAAAAAAAACAAAAGATTGATCCTAAAAGGAAGAAAATGGGTTGATGAAGGAGGAGATGGTTTGATAATATTTGCTCCCATTTACAATAAGAATTCTTCTTTTTTTGTTTGTTTTTTTTCTCCTTCCATCACTGCCTGCTTTGTCTTGTCAGTGTTTTGTAACTGAAATTTCAATAAGAAAAAAAAAATAAAAATTTAAAAAAAATTAGAAAATGCCTTTTCTGTTGTTTTCTGAAATTCTGGTATGATTTTTTTCTTTTTTATTTCATTTTTTCCATTATTTCATTTTTATCTTTGGTAGAAATAATTTTTTTTTTATGTATCAAGATGCTTTAAATTAATGATTGGACAAGCTCCTTGTGAGTTCCATGGCTTTAAAATACCTGTGAAAATTCTCCTATTGCATCATTAAATTTTTGATCTTAACAATTTTAACAAAATATTGCAATAACAATCATACATATGTATGCAGGTCATTATTTAGAGAACTGAGAGGATACAAATGAAAAGATTTAAAATTGACAAGTTTTTTCATTTTGCTGAAGCAGACGTTAAACACATAAGAGCATTATTACCTCCTCTGTCTTCTCTCTTTTTCTTTTCTCAAAATGGAATACTTCATTATTTATGAAGATGTGAGCTGGTTAAACATTAAATCTAAGTGGAAAAAATGTTAATCCCAAAATGTAATATAAACTGAAAGATAGAGAGAATAGAAACATTTGTCTTGGTGAGAATGGGACCGCCTAGTTTTCTTCTCTCCTAAAGTTTATTCTTCTTATCTACCAAGAGTCTGGCATGCAGACGAAAACAGATTTGGAGAAATAGCTTTATCTCTTTCTTGAAAAATTAGGAAAACATGTATATTTTCATTAGTGAAAACAAATTTAGAAATGAAAACAGAGAATGGATCCTTTTTCTTAGGGTTGAAGTTATGAAGATCATTTTGTGCCAAGATCTGGTTTCTGTTTTTGCTGAGTCAGTGATTGGCCATAGATGGAAAACAGTTTTGTCTCTTTTTTAAGAATTACAAAAACAAGGAACAGACCCTTTTTCTTAGGGTTGAGGTTATAAAAATCAATCATGTCATGCCAAGAGGGTGATCTGGTTTGTGCAAAAGGATTCAATTGAAATTAATGAGGAGAATAAACCATGCCCTTTCTCTTACGTATTTTAAAAATTAAATTTGTCACAGAGACAGTTATGTGCCCTGAGAAGTAGGCAGAGTTAGAATACTGAGAAGAAAAGGGTAGAGTTTAGCCCTACCTGTGCTGAGTAGTGGTGCGGGATGTGAAGTAAATCAGGTTGTATTTAAGGAAGAAGCAATCCTGTGACTACTCCCAAAGAAGGTGGATGATTCTCCAAATTTGGGAAATTGATTAAGAAAGCAGAAATAGGGAACAAAGAAAGCCCTTATTAGAATTAATGTGAAAATTAAAGAATCAACGAATCCCAAGAACCCTTTGGCCCCATGCCAGTTTTGGGCTGTAGTGCATGTAAGCAGAAGACTTTGGGGAGCTCATAGATTTTTGGCTGAGATCCTGCATTGAGTGCTTCTTAAATCCACGGCAGCTGCCAACCAGAATTCCTGATTCCATGACTTTGTATAAACTTCTGAAAGGCTGGGTTCAAAGCCCAGTGCCACTAGAGAGATTTATGCCGGAAGGGTTAATTTTGCTGTACCAAGAGCTATATAAACCAATTGAAGATTAACCCACGAACCTCTCGTTTTATTTTTTTCAAGATAATTTTTCTTTAATATAGCACCCACCATGGCTTGATCAGCACTACGAAGCTACAACACCATTTCATCTTCTACTGCTCTGAAATCAAGAACGCAATGTGAGCAGCAACCAACAACCAGCTTGGACCAGCGTCAGCATTGACCAGCACAGTTAGCCCATGGTAAAGTGTTGTCTTAAGACCCTGAGAATTGCGATATTTATTGATAGTTTGGCTGAAAATAATATTGGCCCAAACATCTTAAAAAGTATCATAAAATACTTTATCCATAAAGCAGCTCTCCCCAAAAAAATTGAATATTATTGTAAGATTAAAAAAAAAACCCCAAAAAACTAGGTCATCTGTCAGGACGATACATAGCATCTATATGCTACTTCTTGGTGTTGTTTTATGTGTGTCATCATAGGAGCTTTGGTTGTGTATGTACCCCAGAAATTTCAGCTGTCTCTCTGATTCTAAGAGAGTTAAATTGTAAATTAAACAGAGATTAGACCAAAAATAGTGTATTGCTGTCATATCTGGGTTGGAGTTGCTCAAGCCTTACTTTCCATTCTTGATAGAGTTCAAAGTTGTCTAAGCAGTTTTATAGGGAAAGAAGAGATTCTTCTCTCTGCAGCCTCTTTTCCACAGAGGCAAACTTGTTGCTGCCCTATTGTTATTTCTATGTCAAATGTTCAGAAGTTCTCCATTCTTTAGTTCTGTCAATTCAGATCTTTACTGCTAGGATACACCTTACCATTTTCATAGTTGAACATTATTGAAATATAAAAATAAATTTCCACTGAGCTTTTACCAAATAATTGCCACTAGGGAAACGGACACCTGTGTAGTTGCTTCCCTGAACGTTTCAGACATCTTTCTTCCCTATTCTCATATAATCTCCATTTGTTACCAACACCTTATACATTCATATCATACATGTCATTCAACATTACCATTTTCATGACTGTAGCCCTTTATATTATTGAGTGACTCTCAAGTGGGTGAACTTTAATATTATATATATATATATATATATATATATATATGTGTGTGTGAACATTGAAGTCAACACTCAGAGGCAACAGACTGTTTCATGCTAAACGCAATCATCAAGTTGAGAAAAACATAAACGTATGTGGCCTGATTGTGCTTAGTATGAAACAGTCTGTCGCCTCTGAGATGTTCACTTTTATATTTACATATGCTCTATCTCTGATACTGAGCACTTTATCCCATAAATATAGCATACCATAAAACTATATTTCTTATATAGGACTAATAAAAATATAAAATTTGTCACTTGGCTAATTGATGTTATGTACAGCACCTCAACTCCAAAGTTTCATAGAGGAACCATTTTGTAATCATTCAGTCCACTCATCAGGAGGCATCAACAATTGTGTACTGATTTTTCACATTTTCGTTATTTTTATATTAATTTAAAAAAATAATTCATGTATTTTTTATTGGTGTTAGGTTGATTTTTTTTTTTTGTGAGTGTGTGTGTACGCCTGTATGTATGTGCACGTGAATTAAGAAAAAAAGGAAAACTTAGCCAATGTATTTCGTCCTCAGATGAACTTTATCATGACTTTATTGAAACTTGTGGGCTAAGATAAGTTTTCCTCTTGTCTTTATTCATATTCTCTTTTTACATTGATTTTCTACAGCTTTGCAGGTTATTTAAAGCCAGAAAATATTTTTAGATTGTAAGAATTTTTTTCTTGAGATAATAATCATTTAGCTGGAGGGAGAAGAGATGGATTCATGCCTTTCCCAAGGATATTTGTGTGTAAGTGAATATAATG